CCAGTCATCCTCCCCTTGCATTTCTGGGTCATTTCTGTGGGATTTGTATTTCAGCTGCTATTACATGGAGTTGAGTTTTTTCTTTTTTTCACCCCACTTCATTCATCATCTTGGATCATAAATAAAATCTGCAATTGTGAATGAAAATGTTCTTAAAAACTGTCAGGTTTCCTAGTCTTAAATCTGTGAAATGGCCCTCGTCCTGTGGGCAGTGATGCGCCAGCCCTCCTTCCCACAGCAACTCTTCATGCGCTGGGACGCAGCAGTGGCCTGGTTGCAGGAGAGGTGCAATGCCTTAGAGCCCCACAGAGAAACGAGGATGCTGAGCCTCTTGCAAAATGGAGCCTCCAGTGAGAAAAGATGTGCAGGGGAGGAGACTGATGTGTTTGACTTCGGCCACCCTCTGTGGCTTCTGTGAATAAGGAGCTGCCTTTTATATTTCTTGAAAAAAATGAAACTCAATTCTGTGATACAACTTTAAAAGAAAATAAATCTCTCCAAAGAAATTGTGCCACAAATCTCGTTTGTCTTCTGTACTGAGGATGAATTGCTGTGTGTGTGTGTGCTATAAAATTAAAATGTGAATTTTGACTTGCTTGTCTTCAAGTTCTTCAGATGAAAGAGATGTTAGTCTAGTCCGTAAAGATGAAATGAAAAACAAGCTGCCTGGAGAAGGGGAATCTCTTGTTTTGCTGATCTGAAACTGAGATGGTTCACCTTTATGCAGCCACACAAGCACGGCCCCTGGGTGTAGCTTTGCTCGTAGGTGGGGGTTAATGTGGCCACCCAACGTATGATTATGCCGAGCATCCTCCTTGGCATGCAGTTGACTTTCTTGAAATATTCAACAGCACAAATTTGATATTGTCTTCGCCCCACTGTCACCTTTTGAGGAAAGATACCAAAATGGTGTGTTTCGAGTTTTTCAACCTTGAAGTTTGAAATCCAGGTGGCCATCCTGATGAGACTGCGATGCTGGGATTCATTTGTAATTACTGCTTCAGCAAAATATTTGTTTCCAAATCCCATTTATTTTGCCGAAGCATTCTCAGGAGCTCTGGATACCTGGTATGTGTGTTTTCCTTTTTTCCTGTCTCCTAACAACTGCATGCATAGTAGTCTAATGCTGCCTCTGTCTCTTTCGGTTGCTAAAATGAAATTAAGTAAAGCATCTGGAATAAAGTACTCAGGTTTACAAAACTGCACCACAACAATGTTGAAAACGAGTTTTAAAAGCAGTTTCAATCTAAATGAAGATAGAAAGCTCCATATAACTGTGGGAGTAATCTGGAGTTAAGGACTTCCCAGGCATTTGATTTAATTAAGCTTGAACAGGTTAACTGGCTGCATTTTTATCACCTGATGACAGCTTGTGTGTGAAACGAATCTCGGTGTCATTTGGTGTTGGAGCAGTGGTCCTGTCACAAAAGATCACGCCAAGCGTCCTGCAGCGTTGTGCACCAAAGAAGGTGACTGCAACGACTTCTGTTTCTCACGGCAGCTCAGGGGAGTGAGGCTGGGCAGGAGCTGTGAAAAGCTGTGCCATCGGTGGTGCATTCTGAGCACTCGGTTTTATCTTTTACACATCTTAGTCAGCAAAGCCTGTCCTCCACTCCAGCATTTGCCATGTATAGATGTTTTGGCCTGTTGGTGTGAATTTTCTCAGGCACCTCATTTCCAACTCCTAGAAGAGATGGAATCGTTCCAGAATCAAAATGTTGTTCTAAGTGGAGGTAAGACAGAACTGTTGGCATCTCTGTTGCCAGCACTTGAATGCAGTTGGATCATGCAGAGGAAGGGGCTGTTCAGCCCGAGTGGTGTTTTCAGAAATCTGCTGCCAGTCATGCTGGTGGCAGTTGTGCTTGTATTAATGACCTTCCCATTGCTTTAAAATCAGAAGTGTGTTGGCAGGTCATGAGCAAGACAAGTTCCTTATTTTGAATGAATATATTACTTCTGACTTGTTCCAACAGCCCTGCAATGCTGCAGGTGTTAACACCACTGATGCTGTAGTAACTGCTCTGGAAACCCACCTGAAAGAACGTCCCAGAGACAGACACGGGATCCCTGCACCGCCTGGCTGGGATCACTGCCACCTCCTGCATCCCTGCAGCAGCCCACGGCCCTTGGTCGATTGCCTGTTGGTTATGTTGCATAAATACGCGGTGTGTGCAAAGGCCTCTGCAAAGGCTTGCTTATTTGCAGGGCTGCAGCCCCCTCTACAGGCAGATGTTTCAGTTAAATTTTCTCTCAGATGGTTTTCAATTAGGAAGTCTGTAGTCTTTCTGATGGAACTAAGTGCATCGTATGTCCTGTTTATGTTATAAAATAGCACGTTCATTGTGTTCTAAAGTCTTCTGCCCACATCTGAATATTTTACCAGGATATCTAATCCAAACAGTTTTGCCCCAAGTGTGGCTCTGTTAGGAATGTGATGCCTTTGGGGAAGAGCAGTATTAAAAAATGCTCAAAGCTGTGAAAGTATAACCACATTCTCACAAATCTCCTGTGAACTTAAATAATAAGCTATGAATTTAAGATTACTTTGAAAGGACATACCTAATAAAATTGAAATATAAACTAATACATGCAAGACTCTTGCATTATCATGGTGGTGTGACATGTCCTATAAAAAATAGTCAGAAATCACATTTACTACATTAAAATAGTATAGTAACAATAGGGGTGTTCCTTGTAAATGCTTTTTTGCTGTTTTCTTGCCAGCCCTCAATGATACGCCTCCAGCAGCCCAGGCAAAAATTGAAATACAGCAGAAATGTCTGTCTTACAATCATATTCAGGCTTAGTACCATTTGATGTCCAGCTACAGCAGAGCTCCGCCTACCCCATAGAGAATCCCAGTGTATTTGCTGTAACCTTATTTCCCTGCTGACCGCACACAGCTCCCTTCAGTGCCTGGAAGGTGATTGCTGTCAGTGTGCTTCAGGTACGTGAGTTGCTCAAAGGCTGCTCCCATGGGTGCTAGCACTTTTCCACCAAGATGAGAAATGTATCAGCTGAAAAACAGCACTGCTAGGCTACTTGGTTTCATGGTGTCACTCTGTGCAAAACTTGCCTTTCTGCAAGGGGGGGGGCTTTCTGGGGTTTTTTTGTTGTTTGTTTGGTTTGGGTTTTTTTGTTTTGTTGGGGTTTTTTTGTTGTTGTTGTGTTTTGTTGGGGTTTTTTTTTAAGTTTTCTTGTTAGCCAGGACATCCACAGAAGAACCTGTTTGGTTCCAGACAGGGAATCTTCATCTCTTCTTTCCACCCCTTCCAGCCAGATCAAGAGCCAGAAGTACCATGAGGGGACCACATCCTTGCATGGGTGCAGGGCAGCGGGGTGCTGTTGCTTACAGCTGTAACGCAGGATTTTTTTTCCCTGCTGACAAAGGTTCCCTGTTGAGACTTACCCTCTGTAGAAACCAAAAAAATACTCCATGATGTAATGATTACTCACAATAGCATACTCGTCATACTATGAACAAGGCGCTTTGAAGTACAAATATTTTATTGCAGTGTTTCAATATTTACAGTACTGTTCACTTTGTCCCTGGGTGCTGCCAAAGTGCAAGCCATTGGAAAAAGAAAAGGTAAAAAATGGTAACTCAGCAGTAAAACATGACTGTGCTTTATGCTCGTACTGGTATTACGCTTCTTCCCTGGTACTGAACACAGAGGGTTTTGCTCTCCCCGGTCACTTGACCAAGCTGATAACAGGAGATGTTGGTCACAGAAGAACTGGCAGTTGTTGGTCTGTTCAAGGTGATGCAGGAACAGGAATCTGCAGTCTTTCCAGCTGGACTTGACTTGGAATTCAGGGTTTCTGACTGTGTAACACCACATCCTTGTACACAGCCCTGTCAAGCTTCTATTTCAATTTTTAATGTAAATACTGGTTTATTTCCAATTCTTTTTGTTGATGATTGTCTTTGGTTTATGTAAGCTTTAAGTCATGTACCTGTTCTGAGGCTAGATCTTCCTGGCTTAATTCTCTTAAAAGAGTCAGTACCTCTAGAATTACCACAGAGCTGCTACTGGATACTGAAACTGGACATGTCATCTCCTAGAGTTGCATTTAAAGGTCATTACAGAATACCGCAACTTTTGTTATGTTTTTCCTTTTTGTATAAAAATGGTGAGTCAGACACCACTGAAGTCTACATTTTTACATACTATGATCTCAAAGTAGGACAAATTACACCGGTTACTTCAGGAGTGATCTCTCAACAGAAACTTGCCTCTTGTGGGGAGCAATTGCTAAAAATTTTATTGAAGATGTGAGAATTCCTGTATTCCAGTGGCTAAACTCAGGTCACGAATCTCTTCAGCTTTCTAACAAGTGTCTCAGCTTAAGAAAGTACTTTGAAAGGCAGGTTCAGACCAAGTACCTGCAATTTCCACTGCCACTGCAATCCCCTGGGAGGTAGGCAGTGAACTTCTCTGCTCCAGTTATCTTAGTGTGCAACAGGGATGTCATTACCTTCTAAAACTTCAGAGACTTTGTGTTACAAAGCTCTTGTACAATTAGGAAATATTTAAGACTACATTCCTGAAAATAAGCTTTAGTAAATGGCACTCCAGGCCTCCAGAAAACACAGTGCAGAGGTGCGGAGTGAGTCTCAGCAGTACTCGCTGCTGCTCTTTCCATCCTTAAACTATGC